AGTGTGATGTGGGGGGGGGGGGGGGGGGGGGGGGAAGACTGATATGTTCTCAGAATTGCGACTTTATGTCTCGCAATTGTGAGTTTATATCACACCTTTTTTATTTTTTATTCAGTGGTGGAAAGGGCTTCCATAGATATATTATTAGAATGCCGTAATAAATAAATCAATAAAATATGTCTGACAGGTTTTGTGAGATTCACCCAAATGCTCTATAAAATATAATTATTATGAGTTACCTCATGTTGCAACATGACTCTGTCTATGAGTAGAGCTCTAATGTGCTGTTTACTGCCATGAAGCTGGAGAGAAGAAGAGAGAGTGTCAGTCAACTACATGTCAAATAAAGAGATTGGTAACAGATATTAAATGTGTGTCTAACCTTGTTCTCCATGGACTTCTTAATGAGACTGAAACTTTTCCAATGTGAGTCAAACTCATGTTTGTGTGAACCTTTAAAGTGGAGCAGGTCGTTGATAATCTATAAAGAAAAAACACCATTCGTCTGTCATACCACCTGCTTATCACCAATACAATACTGTAAATATCACGTGCACATAAACCTGACAGACAAAAACCTTGCAGTTCACCTTTATAATTGAGAAGAGGGATTTGATGTCATCCTCTGAGTGCTCTAGAGTGTGGTCTGTATGGATAAACATCATAGAGTTGTGAGACAGATCAACAGATGTTAAAGTTTAAATCGAGAACAAGACTCAGTATGTTAGAGTAACTTACGTAATAGAGGTCTAATCACCTTACAGATGTCCTCTCTGTAGTTCTCTCTAGACAGGTCTGCCACATAATCAATAATAAGCAAGCAACTAATTCATTAATCAGTATAGCTCCAGCACTGGTTTTAAACACAAGAAGGAAATGCTCACTCACCATAGTCTACTCCAGTGTAAACGTTTGTCTCGCATAGCTGAATCATACTGTTTATCCTGAAGTGATAGGCATTGCAAGGTTACAATATTACTAAATTAATGTGTTTAAAATAAAGTGCTTTATGTAACTGCACTATATTGTGCGTGTGTGTCACACTCACTTCTCCGGCACAGGTTCTCCATTCAGTGGAGGCAGAAGGCTGCTTGCTCCCAGAAAGCAGTTATGAACAATGGACAGACTCTGTAGAACATCATCCCTAAAGAGACACAAAACTCATTAGCAAATTAATCTTTCTCTCATCTCTTTTTCTGGAATGTAATTTTTTGTATTAATGCATTAATTAAAATTTGTCCATCTATGAAAGAAACAAAAAGATCTCTAAAGAGCTTAAGTCAATCTTAAATCATGGTGTCTGATTTATCTCTTAATCAGTGACACATGAACGTGTACCACAGGGGCTGGAGATATTTAAAAACATTTGGATTTTTGCTCATATGAAACTGAAACTTAAATAAAAATATGAAAAATAATAAAGTATTAAATAAATCACAATTAATCTTTTGTTATAAACACAAACACATTCAGTCCCTTAAAAAAAAAAAATTCAGTATAGTATGAACACATTTCTGGTTTGATGTTGATGAAGGGGAACGTACTGATGGGACTGTGGGGGTACGAATGAGTTCAAACAGATAACATGTTACTGTATCCTGTGGCTGACCTGCTGATGTCCTGTTCTCCCTGTGTGTGTTTCTGCAGATGCCGGAGTTCAGGTTTTAACAACAGATCCAGCAAGTAAAAAACAAACTCCTTCTCTTCTGTGCTGGGCACGTGCCACTGGATGCCCAGGTTCAACAGGTCTCCAGGCCGACCCCAGTCCTGATCCAGAGAGGAGACAGAGACAACTAGTGCAACATCAGCCTCAATAACATAGTTTTTTTTCTCCCACAAAAACATAACAAAAAAAAGGCAATAGTGACCAATATTTTGTGCAATTAAGTATACTGATGATAACTGGTGTAATGTCTAAAATCATCCTTATCTTTACTTGATCCACTTTTCTTTAAGACCTTAAGAAAAAACATTACAAAGAAGTTTCATGGATTTGTTTTCATAAATTTAGAAAAAGAGTGGAGTAGTTTAGATTTTCTGAGAATGCTGAGGAGGAGTCAAGTTCAAATGAACCATGTAACAATACGTCAATCAGAGAGGAAGAGTGACGTCTGTTTGTCTAAGAAAAGGTGCTCAGGTTAACCAGTGCTAGACGGTGACGGAGCTCCACTAATCCATTCATTTACTCAATCATCTCATCTCTTCCTCTTTAGAGATATTTGATGGGATAAAATAAATGTAAAGCCCAGTCACAGGAGCAAGCACAAATATCCTAGTGGTAACTTCCCATTCACTGCTGTTGTGAATTTAAACATTTTGGAATGTTTGTACATTTTTTATTACTATACTTTAACACTGATCATATTATATTATAATTTTCATATAATATTAGTATTTACTCATTTATATCCACTAATTAATATCATCCCTAAAATGCAACATTTGTCACTTTGTAATAGAAACAATTAACCCATAGAAATTCATTAAAATTGGGAGTAGTGGAGTTTTTTTTGTTGTTGCTTAAACATGGTTCTCAATTTTTTTTCTCCAGAGAAAAATCATCTCCAGAGTTTCAGAAGAAATCTCAACGATATCTCTGAGTTTAGATTTACCAAGATACCAAAGTCGTAATTTCACCTGAACACAGGCATTTCTCATCAAACTGATTTAAGTACAAAACTAACTGGTCAAAGTTAGGCTTTTCACATCAGACAGCTCTGTACTGTACTGTATGTTAACAATTATTTTCAAATGGACTCTTGGATACTCTGTGGTTTCTTCAGGATTATGGCATCATATTTCAGATTTATTTTAAGCAGAGCTGAGCCTTGTGTCACTATGAGAGGGTTAGTGGCAAAATCGGGCACCTCATTTTCCACTTGAGGCTGACCTTAATTGGAAGGTATGTGTCAGTGTGCTGCTGGACCCCTCCGGACATGCTGCAGTACTCTCTGGGATAGATGAGGGACATGGAGCGCAGGATGTGATAGAGCAGCTTACAGGCCAGATTGTAGCCCTGCTTACATTTCAGGTGCAGAGTTAACTGAAGAATCTGCACCAGCTGAGACCTGTAGAGTAACAGTTGATCACCATCCACACGGGTCACCTACAGCCAGAGACACAAGGACTGTTATTTTATAAATATCTAGATACGGTTATAGTAACAGGATTCCAGTTAGAAATAGATTTGTAGTTAGATTCTAAAGTCAAGTTTTAGATTTCAAGAGTTCTAAATATCTTTTTTTGATTTATAAACTTTTATTTCTTCAATTACAGGTATATACTACCACTCAAAAATTTGGGGCCAAAAAGAATTGTTAAAGCGATCCTGAAAAAAATTTTTTTTTTTGGTTTCACAAAATTATCAAGCAGCACAACTGTTTTTAACATTGATAAAAAGAAATGTTTCCTGAGCACAAACTCAGTATATTATAATGATTTCCGAAGGATCATGTGACACTAAAGACTTAAGAGTTGCTAAAAAATTCAGCTTTGAAATCACAGAAATAAATTACTTGACTGTTTTACACTATTTTTAATCAAATAAAGGTAGGCTTGATGAACATAGGAGAACTCTTTTAAAAACATTACAAATTCTTAATAAATCCCAAAAAATATACACAGTTCTACATTTAGATTTCTATATTTCTAGTTTGATTTGTAGATATACATTTCAAAAGTTCTATATTTCTAGATAGATATTTTCACTTATAGATTGCTAGATTAAGATTTTTGCATTTCCAAAGATATTGATTTCCAGAAACACATTTCTAGAGCAGGCTAGCTAGATATCTACACATTGTAGAATCCAGTGCTGACCTCCGACAACAGCTGGAGGTTCCACATCAGCTCTTTATCCAGCTCCTCTTCATTTAATTCCTCTTCATCTGAGAACACATGGTATGTTAACAGGAAACTCACAACACATGTAGCAATACAGATACTACCATTGACACATTACATGCAGGTGGAACTTACAGGCTGAGATTTGAAATATGGCATTACAGCAGTGGGGCAAAAAGAGTTTCAGAGCCTCTGCTGGGTGACACTAAAAGGAGAATAATCATATAAACTGATCAGCCAAACGTTTTGAGAAACACTATCAGCTGTGGGAGTCAATGAGTTGAGCTCAGGACACCGACCTTGGTTGCAGCTCGGCACATGTTCGCCACCATCCGTCCAGCCACGTGAGTCTCAAAAATGTTTGTCGTGGCAAAGTTAAAGACTTTTTCCAGAGCCACCTATAAAAATAAAGGAAATATGTTCAAATATCATCACATAGTTAAAGCACAATAGAAATACACTTCCGTTCCGTTCAAAAGTTTAGGGTCTGTAAGATTTTAATTTTTGAAAGAAATCATTACTTTTATTCAGCAAGGATGCATTACTTTGATAAAAGTGACAATGAAGACATTTAGAATGTTAAAAACTATTTCCATTTCAAATAAATGCAGTTTTTTAAAAACTTTCCATTCACTAAAGCGACTAGAAAAATACGTATCATGGATCACACTTCAGACTGGAGTAATGCTGCTGAAAACTCAGTTTTGCCATCACAGAGAATAAATTAAACAATTAAATAAATATTTTCACAATATTACTGATTTTACTGTATTTTTCATCATAGAAAAAAATACAGCCTTGGTTAGCATAAGAGATTTGGTGAGAAAAACATTTAAGAAAATCTTACCGACCCCAAACTTTTGAGCGGTAGTATATGTTATGACTAGGTTTAACTCCATGGGTACAGAGAGTGTGTTTATAATGACCTGGAATATTTCCATAGAGCATTGTGTGAGGATAGTGCTGAATGTGGAGGACAGACCCAGCTCCACCAGACTCTCCAGATGAGTCATTTTCTCTGTCTCCATCTCCTCCCGGGTTTGTTCCAGTGTACTCGTGTCAATCAGTGCAAAACACCTAAATACACAAAAATGAGAGAGAGAATGAGGATACAGAAAGAAATACACATGTACAGTATTCAGAGACAGTTCTGTACCTATCAATAAACTGAAGAACAAAGTCCTCAAACTCTGCTGAGGCTGAACACAACACTTTTTCCACCTGCACAAAAACATAGAATGAGAAAATTGCACATGAATTATGACAAGTAAAAAGATCCTAATGACAGGAGGATGTTTCACCTGTGTGAGGTCATTTCTTGTCTGAACAGCAGCTGAACAGTCCACCAATGGCACAAGAGTAACAAAAGTCGCTAAAAATTGGAATGTTATCTGTAAAAAAACACTTAACACTTAATTGCTGGAGCAAAGGGTCTGAATACTTAGGACCATGTGATATTTCAGTTTTTCTTTTTTAATAAATCTGCAAAAATGTCAACAATTCTGTGTTTTTCTGTCAATATGGGGTGCTGTGTGTACATTAATGAGGAAAAAAAATAACTTAAATGATTTTAGCAAATGGCTGCAATATAACAGAGTGAAAAATTTAAGGGGGTCTGAATACTTTCCGTACCCACTGTATATACATACATATATATATATACATATATATAGTCTCACCATGCACTTGCTGAAGTCATTGGGGTCAACCCCAGGCAGAGCCCTCATGAGGAGAGGCAGCATGTGTGTGGGGCCCTCTGGAAACCTCTGGCCGCCGGCCACCAGGCTCCGCGCCACACCGATCATACAGCTTAGAGTGGCGGTCAGCTGGTGAGGCTCAGTGAGGGTCTCCATGGCAGGATATGTCCTTAAATGAGATGAAGAACAGGAGAAAAGAGTCCCGAAAATGCTTATATGTGATAATATCAAGCCCATCATCAATTTACGGTCTCATTTCTAAACTACCAAGGGTTTGTTAACAAGCTGAATTCTACAAAACATCTATGAAATTATTGTACTCTTAAAACTGTTCACTCAAAATATATTAGATTGTACATAAATAAACAAACACACACACACACTTACTTCTCCAGCACTGGAGGAATGACTAGATCAGGTCTGAGCAGGGCAAGGTTTTGCAGGGCCTGGGCAGCATCCAGGCTGCCAGTTTTGCTAAACATCGCCAGCAGGACAGGCTGCTTCATACTTTCCACAAAGTCTGTGATGTCCTGCTCACTGAGAAGGTGGCTCTCAGGAACAGGAGTCAGCCACGTTGGCGTCCGGTAACGTTCTCGATGCAGACGTTTCACAACACTGGCAGGTAATCGCTGAACGAGCTTCATGAGTTTCATCTAGGGATGGATGGATGGATGGATGGAGCAACACAAAACATTTTTATAAATAAAGAAATGAAAATAAAATATAATATTTTTACATTATTTGAGTTTTTCCATTATTAGGTAGTGCAATGAAGATGAGCAGGAATCATTAGGGAAAAAGGGGGAAATGGACTTGAAATGGAGCTCTGACCATAATGATATTATTACAACTGTGAAACAGACTGAATGAACAAACTTAAGACCCATCCAGCACACACATCTGTAATGGGTCTGTAATTACGAGATTTATTTAGACAAATGTGTCATTGAAGCCCAAATAAATAAAGCAAACATGGATTAAATGTAATGTTAGTTCTACTGAGCTTTTAATGTCAAAATTGCACTACAGCTGCCATTTGATCAAAGGGATGAATATGAACTTCGACTTCTGATTCCCATCTCATTAAGTGAGCATGCCGACATATCCTGCAATAAAACGTTTTGTACCCTATGATGCTCACTGCAAACCATACAATTAATTTGCATCAAAGGAAGAATACTTTCTGTAAGCTTCTGAAAACAAATCAGATGTTCCACAGAATGCACACATCTCATCAACAGCTCAAAGGGAAAGACAAAGTAATATCGCAACAATGTGGTGACAATAAAAGGACAAAGCTTTTACAGGGTTTACTGTGACATTTGAAACTGAGAACTAGATGCCTCTCTCAGTCAAAGCAAACATGCATCCCTGGAAAGATAAACTGTCCTGTGGTCTATGAGGAGATGTTTCTAGAAAAAGAATGGCATGCATTGTTGATAGGAGCAGTGCGTTTCAAACACAGCTGCAAGCTCTTAAAAAGCATTCTGGGAGACAGATTACCAGCCTAAAGGCCTTGTTCATTTTGCGTTTTTTCATTTTTTTGTTAATTAAATGGCTTATTTTAATACAATAACTTATTTGTTAATCTTTATACATTATATATGATTTATGCTTTATATATTATTTAGCATTTTATATAATATTTATTTCTACTAAATTTCAGAATCAGACATTTCCACCAGTAACTCACCAGCCAGCGGCCGTGGTTAGAAGGGTGGAAAAACGAGGCAATACTGTTGAAAAGGCCACTGAGCTGGGTCTGGGTCTGCTTGCTGGGCCCTCCCTAAAATACATTATTAAATATAAAATAAATGCATTACATCATATCCTGATGGTTTTGATAACTTGATGGCATTTCAATAGTAATTAAAAGCATATGTGCTTCATTTTACCAGCAAAGCAGAAATCCAGATGACCACATGACTGATGTCATAGGCATTTGTCAGATATCTGGAAACCAGCATCTGACTGGATCCTACAGGAAGATTAAGACTCCTTAAGATCCTAGTGAAGATCTGAAAACCGAGACAGAATACAAACTGTATAACCAGCAATACTGAACCAGCTCTGGATTGAATGGCTTATTGTGTGTACAAAACAGCCAAGGAAAATCATTTAAACAAGAAACTTATTACTGAAAACAGAAATACCTTCGGTATATAAGGGTCCCAATCTATGTAACCAATGTTGTCATTTGCCAGTCGTGCAAAAAGGCTGACAAGATTCTGGAACAGACAAAATCAGGTGAATTCTAATGTAATAGATTACTGAAGTGAGTTAAAATTTGATAGTGAGGCAACAATACTTACCACTTCCCAGCTTGGAAGGTTCTGTACCGACACCCACAGGCTTATCAACTCATCAAACCAAAGTCTGCAGAAACACACAAAACAAAATACTTCATGGAACATGCGCCACATAAAAGCTCTAGAAAAAATATGATTTGCATCAGATGTGTCACAGTTATGTAAAATACTGCATTTTCCAATGCAAGTTAATTTCTATGACAACAATTTTCCATTATCTAGTTATTCTAGTTTGTATGAATTACTTTCAAATTATATTTCATTTAAAAAATAACATATCATGGTTGTTCCATATATCTGACATGATGCATTCTGCATTTCAGGTTAAATGCGCCACCATTTGAAGCTTGTCGTCAGTATGACCTTATTAAAATAAATTAATGCTGAAAATGGTTTGAAATTCAGCTCTGACAACAAAGAAATAAATTACATTTTAAAATATATTAAAATGGAAAACTTTTTTTTAGTCTATTTGTGATCCAACAAATGCAGCTTTGGTGAACACATGCGACCTCTCTTTCGGAAACATGAAAAATTCTATTGACTCCAATTTCCAGACTAATAGGATGGATTGTGCAAGTGAAAGCAGACTGAAAGTGTGTCGTAAATTTCAGGCAGTGCTCACTTAAAGCCCTTATCATGAAGCTCTGGAGGGAGAGTGGTGGGCAGGAAGAGCTCAAAATATCCCATCGCCTTCTGCATGGTCACGTCAAATGGGCACATCAGAGGCCTCCACTCTTCCAGCATCTCCTGTGTGGCTGATTCTGGGAAATATCTGAACGCATTCATACAAAGACACACAAGAGAATGATTTTGTGAAGCGCTGTTGCTGATATCTGACCTCAAGCATTATGCACAGATATGACAACACTAAAACTTTGTGATGTGCCATTTAAATGTCATGGTAAACTGTATGCAGTACAAGTAAACTCTTATTAACTGGATAACTGGTTAAAGTGCTTTAGTTAAAGGATTACAGTCTGCCGGTCTAAGCCACATTAGGAATCCTGACATACACCATGCGGCACTTCCTGTCGACCATTTACTGTCCTGTCCATGAGCATCCTGCAAACAGTGCGTTATCTGTACAAACTGAAGGCATGGACTTCTCTGACCACTGACATGATAACCTTTTCTGTAATCCTACTGTAGATGAGCTGAGAGGAACTTTGAACATGCAGCTTCACCTCACCCTAAATAACTTCCATAGAGTCTGTTCTGTGTTTAAGTGGAAACAAGGCAAGCATACATTTTCTCTCTCGATTTCAGTTAAAATATCATAAAAAGATAATTACTAAACAGTTTTATCCCAGATTATGCACAGATATGACAACACTAAAACTTTGTGATGTGCCATTTAAATGTCATGGTAAACTGTATGCAGTACAAGTAAACTCTTATTAACTGGATAACTGGTTAAAGTGCTTTAGTTAAAGGATTACAGTCTGCCGGTCTAAGCCACATTAGGAATCCTGACATACACCATGCGGCACTTCCTGTCGACCATTTACTGTCCTGTCCATGAGCATCCTGCAAACAGTGCGCTATCTGTACAAACTGAAGGCATGGACTTCTCTGACCACTGACATGATAACCTTTTCTGTAATCCTACTGTAGATGAGCTGAGAGGAACTTTGAACATGCAGCTTCACCTCACCCTAAATAACTTCCATAGAGTCTGTTCTGTGTTTAAGTGGAAACAAGGCAAGCATACATTTTCTCTCTCGATTTCAGTTAAAATATCATAAAAAGATAATTACTAATTAAGGCCAAAGGTTTAATTAGGTTTTATCCCAATTGTATGGATATGATGTCCTTGTTGACCTCCTGCTGAAAAAGGGACAGCACTGATCCTAGCAGAGTCAGGAAACTTCCACAAAGCCACATTAAAAGAGCATTAAAAAGGATTAACAGCCTAGGGACAAACTGAGGAACTATTAGGGCACAGTTTATATGTACACTACCTGTCAAATATGAGTAGTAGTAATCAAAAACTCCCACTCATCCACAAAGCTAATTTTAAACATTTAAGATTTTTTAAGATAATTAAAAATATACACATTTAGTCAAGTGTGTCCAAACTTTTTACTGATAGTGTAACTTTGATTAACCTGCTTAAAAAATAAAGCAGACAACCCTTGCACAAAGCATACTCACATATGTAATAAAATCTATAAATGTAAGTTTTTTTTTTAAACATTTGACATGTTTTAATTCTTTACGGTCACTTGTGATCAATTTACTACATCATTGCAAAATAAAATATTAATGTTTAAAAATATCTTATTGACCTTAAACCTTTGATTAGTAGTGTATGTCAGGAATAAGGAAAAGAAGATATGCAAGTAAGTACTTACGGTCTGCAGTTCTTAATTAAAGCCTTCAGAACTGCTTCCACTGAGCTGCAAATGGAAGATAAACGTGAAAGTGACCAACACTGGATACAACAGCACATTCTAATTCCATGCAAACAATTCTACAATGAACAAGACAAACACACTAGTGTTGTTAGACCCGCTCATGCATCATGTTATAAACTCAAACAGGCAGTGATGAAGCCAGTGGTAGTGGAACCTTTGGGAAACAGTTTTTTGGGGGTTTATTTTATTTGAACACAGCTGTGATGTGAACTTGTGAACATATTGGGGGCTGATGGTCCATCTGTGACCTATATGCTGCAGAAAAGCTGGTCAGTGCAGCTCTTTTAAAGTTTTATCAACCCCCTTATCCTGAGCATCTTCAATTCCAAAATACCAAATCACATTCATCACTTGCATGAAATCCATCAAACACATGCATCATATAAACCACACAGCTAAATAAATGTAAACAAGCCTGTGAGTGTTACCAAAAAACTGCAGATATGTGACACCCAGACAGGGCGACAACCTTTGTTTTGAAACGGGCCAAAGTTATCGGTCACCTCTGCACTCATACAGAGGAAAGAATCCCTCAGTGGGGACTGACTGTGCAGCAGGAGCCAAGAAGGATACTGGAGTATCAGATATCTGTATTAATGAGCATCGAACACTCAACACTGAGAAACAATGTACAATACAGGGTGTTTGCTGGGCCATTAAAATTGAGAGCAACAGAGGGTTATTGAATGGTGTGAGAGCAGCACAACATTGGTTTTCAAAATGGGAGTCCAACAGCCTGTGTCGGGGTGTCAGTACTTTTTTTGTGTGCAATGTGACATGCATCTTATTGGGTAAAAGTGCACTCAGTCATTTTAAATTATATTAATATTTTTAAATAATTTAAAATTTTTAATATTATGTTTTATATCAAATATACATATAATATTAATTGCATTTTATCATTATTATTATTTCTTTACACAGATTTCAGAACTTCTAAATTACATAAATGGTAAGCATTATGCTGTTACAATTTTTTTTTAAGCAGCAGCTTTGGCAGTAAAAGAGATCTAGTTACTTAAAATGTTTAATGTTTGGTATTGTCTATTATTCCAGTAATACAGGATAGAAAATACCTAAAAGTATACCAAAGACATAAAATGCATATTAGTAGCAAAGTTAGACAAGGATCCATTTTTGCATAAAGGAGTATTTCAACAGAAACTACAATTTCAAAAATTCAAATATGCCAACAGCTCAAAAATCACCTAATCATCTAATGAAATACATTTTTATTAAACCAAAGAACATCAGTTTCTTTGATGTGTATAGTATGAGATTGAGAAAATAAATTGATAATCAACCAGGAACAAAAAGGCAAACGGACATTGCTGTTGTGCATCAGCAGTGCCTAATAAACCAAAATAGCATGCATCCACAGCAACAAATTAAAGTCAAATAAAGTCAAACACCACTGAGACAAATAAAATCCAGTGAAACATTTAAAAATTACTGAGTGCACTTTAAAATATTAACAGAGTAAAATGGTCCTTACCACCTCTGAGCAAGTTTAACAATTATGTGCTTAGAGGAAGAGTGTGGCCGCAGAGAACTGAACATGAGAGGAGAAAAAAGACAGGCTCACTCAGCACTTCCTGTGTACTATTCTCAACATCAGCACCAGTTCTAAGATGTGTGCAGATTCCCAGAATTAGGAGTGACAGTCTTCAAAATAAGAAGCTGGGATTGAAGTTATGAGGGTAACTATATGATTAATTGAGTAGATATGCAAAATGGATCGCTTTAGAAACAGTGTTTTTTAAAATGTATTTTTTAAATATTGTTGAGAAAAATCCACTTTTTATAATGTTTCTGATGGGATATGCATGTACCTGGGAAACCAGTTCAGGCCGAGGTGCTCTGTCTTTGAGTACAGGATCCTGTCCTGCAACTCATAAAGTGGTCGCCATGGCAATTCTAAGTCCTCTCTTGAAAGCAGCTCCTTCTTCCTGTAAGACAAAATCATTTAAATGAGATGATTTTCTTCACACGGTTTGTTTTTGTCATAGGTGTGGGTGGATATTCAAATCATGAGCTGTTCTGTCACTCTGCAATTACAAATTAGCAATACGAAAGAGATAATGTGCAGTCATAACTGCATTGCTGTGATGTGAAGAACCAAGTATTACATGGCTACATAAACAGATTTTAATATTTTAATTATTGTATTATCTTAATTGTAGACTAGATTCTCCTAAAAAACAGTTAATTACAGTTAATGCAGAAAACAATTGACCAAAAAAATTAAATAATGGTACAATGATATTATAATATTAATTTATATATCATTATTAATCTGAAATGCAAGTTACTTTCTAAAATAACTAGCTTCAGTGTATGATTTTGTATATTTGTTAGGGACTTCTAAGCCTCTAGTCATCTGTCAATTTCACAAACATATAAATAAAATAATATGTACACAAACACACACACATATATATTTTTAATATTTTTGGCAGGGCTAAAGAGTTTGCAAACTGCTACAGAAATACCCTACACTAGTGACATCATCTTTGTGCTTCCAGTGTTGATGTCCAATACGAAAGAGATAATGTGCAGTCATAACTGCATTGCTGTGATGTGAAGAACCAAGTATTACATGGCTACATAAACAGATTTTAATATTTTAATTATTGTATTATCTTAATTGTAGACTAGATTCTCCTAAAAAACAGTTAATTACAGTTAATGCAGAAAACAATTGACCAAAAAACTAAAATAATGGTACAATGATATTATAATATTAATTTATATATCATTATTAATCTGAAATGCAAGTTACTTTCTAAAATAACTAGCTTCAGTGTATGATTTTGTATATTTGTTAGGGACTTCTAAGCCTCTAGTCATCTGTCAAAATTTCACAAACATATAAATAAAATAATATGTACACAAACACACACACATATATATTTTTAATATTTTTGGCAGGGCTAAAGAGTTTGCAAACTACTACAGAAATACCCTACACTAGTGACATCATCTTTGTGCTTCCAGTGTTGATGTAATCATCATGGGACTAAATGGAGGGCATGTAGGAAGTCCATCATCTTACTTCAGCAGGGTGATGAGGAGACGGGCGAAGCACTGCATCATACTGATCTCCAGTTTGGGGATGGTGACCAGCTCATACAGCAGCTTGACAAAGTGCACATGGTCCTCTTTGCTGAACTTCCTTCCATACAGTCGCATATATCTGAAGGACAAGAACTGTGTTTTTTTAGTATTAAAATGTTTTAAAACATTATTTAAACTATATTGTGTCTCCATCTGATATTAACAGTTAGGATGGCGAGTTGTATGGTATGAAATAGATTGGTAGTTGCCAATTCTAGAACTGACAGTGTTATAGTTCAGACCCTGAACTTCCAAATCAATCCTTTCTGTCTGATTAGTGTAGTTATGTTAGATCATGGCATCAACAATGTGCATCTATGAATAAAACCGAGAAAAAGAAGAACAAATTTAAATGGCCCTACAAAGCATTTCCATTTGGATGTGTTTTCAGTTGCAAGGTGAAGACATAAAAGCAACATGTGATACCCAAGTAAATCACTTTAATTAGAAGATTTAGGTCAAGCTGTCAAAGCTTGCTTTCCAATGAAAAGGAAGTTGACTAAGGCTGACCTGGCACAATCAAATAATTTAGGTCAGACCTGGACAGCATAGCTTCCGTGCTTGGGCTGGCAATGCCAATGGCTTGCCAAGAGGGTTTTGTTGGAATATTCACTGGAATGGCAGTGATAAAGAAAGCCATGTCCTAAACACCCAAGGGCACACAGAGACAAGTCCCAACACAAACACTGGGACATCTCCAAACATGGTCATAGCTTGCATTCTGGGCATAGAATAAAAAACGACAATCTGAAGAGATACAGCACAAGAGCATTCATTATTACATTTAGTGAGGATGTCTTGGTTTACGCAAATGTCTTGGATAACATTGAGGACATTTTTTCCCGTGTATGTTTACTGTTTACAGATGAGTATTGCATCTCATAGTCACACGTAGTCTGACATCAGTGACTGTTTGTGCTTGTTGTGCTCTTAAAATAGCATTGAGGGGCGAAAACATAACCAAGTCATTTTGCAATCGCTGACAAAATATTTGGCTTGTTAAACACCAGTCAATTGCTTACTTTCACTGCAATGAAGACTTAAACCAATAACTCAATCTCAGTAGAAATTTGTATCAAAATATAATGTTGCCATCTTGTATATGTCAACATTGGGTTAATCTTAAACAAAAAAATCGATAAATAGGGATTTTATACGCGGTAAAAATACACACGTACTCTTGTTTAAAGCGTTCCAACTGGATTTGTTTGAATGACGCAAGGGAAACAAAATTAGTGACTACGCATGCGCAACACCAGTCAGCGCGCACTCTCGATTAGCGCTCTATTTAAAACGCACCGGAGATATTTTTACCGTAGTCTGCTTTATCCTCCTAAATACAAAGGGGTCATGCGGTGTTCCTGTGACTCTAAATAGAGCTGCCTAGGAACATCACATTTCCTGTTTATGATATTAGGATTAAGGGAATGTATTCATGATTAACAATCATAGACATTCTAGGAACAACCCCATCATTTAATTTCGTTGGCAGACGAAACTATCCGGATGAGTTCTGCATAACGTTTGATGAGTTAATGCCTCTTAAATACGTACGTGGAAAGTTTCCTCGTCCAAAACAAGACACCTGGCCATATCTCTCGAAGTTGGACGGCTCTGCCGAGGTTTCCTTTGATCTGTGCCAAAAATTCATTGGACTCTTCGTCTAGTTTGTCCTTGTAAGGTAAAAGTTCGTTGTAAACAATATCTTTTTGCGGAACAAACCCTAAAAATTCGGTTGCTTCTTTTTTCATATTACAGTCCCCCAAATGTGGCTCCTCCACTTCGATTATATTAGAGACAGTCATGAACAAAACTATTCCAAACAGTGATGAGCTTCTGAGATGGTAAGAGAAGTAAATGATCAATTATAAAACCACTATAAATGTCAAAACCATAATACAGTCGTGCTATTTTCTTGCTGAAAGACGCGCACTGTCGTTTCTGAACTCTCTAGGATAATGATGACTTCTTTTAAGCAGACCCGCTTGCTGTCATGCATCTTATCTCTATACGAGCGCTCCATGTATCCGTTTCCATTCATCTGTAACCAGCCAAACACACATGCCGCAGCTCCACCCTCCTCACCCTGCGTCACTTCCACCTAACCATGTCCAAAATAACAGATCCAGGAACAGTTTATTGAGACTGAAAAATGAATCTTACTATGACGAAGGATTAGTCCATGAATAATAATTGTGCCATTCCGAAATTACTTGATAACCTTACTCAGAGCCATAATTTTGTACCAAAAAATAAAAATAAATAAATACATTTAAAGAGGGAAATATATATAGCAGTGTAGGCCTATAGGCTATAATAATACTTTCGAACAATTCAAATATTTTTTAAAGACAACAAACCTTGGGGCACCTTTAACAAATCTACATTTGTATAAATAATGCTTACTTGTAATAAAAAATATTTTTGCACAGATTCCAACCTGTTTGTTTAGCATAAAAACAACAAAGAATGTGATATTCGAACAGAATGGTGTAGTCCGGTTCAAAAACGAATGACTCTTATTAACCGATTCTTTTAAGTGAATCAAAAACATAGCGCGCGACAAGAGTGGTATGATTCCCCGAAAGAATGACTCATGTGAGTCGGTTCTTTGTAGTGAATCAAAAACACTTCAATCTGACTCGTTTACTGAACCACAAATCAAGAAAATGTATGTATCATTTGCCATTGCGTATGTTGGTTCGTGAAACTTAAATAAATGGTACTGACTTGTTGTGCATATGAACACGTTCATTTTTAGCTAAGCTAAATTCTTTATAGATTTTTTTGTAATCAGTGGAATTTTACATATTGTGAGTAGTAGTAAATTTAATTTATTTCAGATTTGTTTTTGCTTATTTCCCAATATTTCTTATAGCCTAAATAAGATTTTCGTATGAAACTTAATAAAGATTATGATGAAATCGCATCGTGACCTTCCTATGGGAATGCTTAGCTCATGAATATTAATGACGATATGCTGATGAGACTTTCTGACCTTCTAAAAGCATTGGTCATTCATATTAAAACTCAAACCTTTACCATAGTAGGATTCGTAAATTAGCATATAGATTATTAAATTAAATACATCGCGCAGTTGACACCTCTAATACTAGACAAGAAACATATGTATTCTGTGGGGGAAATCTATTTATGATTCTGGGTCGGCCAGTAAGCCATGTTGTTAGTAAGCACGAGCCTAGATTAGTATACTCTGTCACGATTGCGCAGTCGTTATAATCAGATATATTTAGTGACATCTGCACCAAAGTGTGATTACTCAAGAGCTCAGTCCATGAGATCTGTAAATAAGAGGGTCTCAAAAAGTCCCTCAAAAGGTCAGCAGGTTTATGACAGGGCATGTGAGCCTTGCACATGTGACTGGGCAGTACATTTAGATCTACAGTAGCTATAAAATTCTGCAGATTTGTTTTCATCACAAAGACACTCAAGAGGAATGACATGCTTAGCTGTGAAAAGTCTCCTGTTCCAAAAAGAGTCGACAAAAACCGTAGGATGTCCATTTTTATAATTGTATGTAATTGATTGTACCAGAATATATACAGTATATATATATATATATATATATATATAGAAAATTATTCTTATTATTATTAATTAGTGTTAATAAAATAAAACATTATTAATATAAGTAGGCTATATTGTTATTTTAAGTATTATATTCTATATATTTTTATATTCTATTAAAATAAAATCTATATATTGTATTTTCCATTACAATTTTTTTTGTAACACATTAAACTATTTAATGTCGTAACAGAGGAATACTTTCCAGTAGAGGTCTCCATTGTACAGATGATATACTTGCTTCTGTAACGTTCAGCCAATTTAATACTCATTTCGCTCATGAGTTGTACATGAGTGCAGTTTTGCTTTATTCATCTATCTGCAACCACTGATGTTTTTTATTCAGTGTCCTCTAATTCTCTGAACTAGTGTGCTATAGTTCAGAGAATTGGTAAAGTCCACCCAAAAATTAAAATTCTGTCATAATTTACTCACTGTCTGTTTGTCTGTTCTTCAGACAGTGGATTGATTCAGCTTGAATTATAAAGTGAACCAACCATATATCGTCAACCATTAGCGATAAGAGTATAAAATATATTTAATGCTTAAATGGCAACAGCAAACAGTGGGGGAACTCTGAAAATTGTGTCTAGCAGCAGGCCGTATATAAAACTGTGGTTTAGGCACAATGGGAGGTCTGGCTTCTGTGCTGTAAAGGCACACACCCTCAGCAGTTGGAGAACCATTAAATTCTGGAAAAACTAGGGATTTGGCATGCCACACCTTTGGATTATTAATTTATGAACATCTATGGAGTTCTGTTCTTTCCACAGAGCATGACCTGCTATTCATTGATTCATTATTAGAATTATAACTGGGCTGTACTCATTGTGAACCTGATAATGTCTACGGGTGAGTGGAGTCAGTACAAGACATTTTTGCACCCTGAGCCCATGTACAAACCTGAATGTCAAAGATAAACTCTTACATTTTATGTTACCGAGAAGCTACGGCAGAGCTTTCAGCTGTTAACTCAAGCAGTCACGAGTGTCTGTGTCATAAAGGTGCTGGTTTATGTTAGGAGCTCAAAGCCTTTTTACTTGCCTTCCAGGATACTGAACTTCCAACCTGGTCTAATGGAAACTACTTACTGTTTTCACATTCACATGCCATTCTCCAGAACACCAAACACCCTTGCCATTCTGACCTTTGCTGTTTGGGCAGCTCTTTGAACCCTGCAACCAGACAAGCAAATATTTCTGAAGGTAAACTGAAACTCAACCAGCAATGTCAAGCATGAACACAATATTTACCCATCCTGTTGTAAGTCATAATGAAATGCCCTTTTTCTGTAACGACATAACTGAAGAACTTGGCTGACATCATATCAAGATGGTTTCTATGGCTTAAGAAAAAAAGTGGAACTTATACTTCAATGGTAGCACAAGTACTGTTTTTTTTTTTTCTGAAAATCAGCACAGGCATATATCTTAACTTTTCATACACCTCCATCGCAATACAGACATGCGCCAAGGGGGAGCAGAAGTGTGAATATATCATCTGACAGCTGTATTTAATGACAGCCATACAAGAGAGAGTGCAGGCTTACAAAACAGATCCAGAGCCAATAAGCCATTGGCTGTGGAAAATTAATCACAGCTATAATTGGCTATCAGACACAACCATCCATCACATCTTTGTATGCAAATAATAGCTTATATAAAGCATGTAAGGGACAGTTTAGCTCTGTGTGGACATGCAGCTCATCCAGTTGGGGTTTATTTTCCAATAACTGCCATAGCTAATTATCCCACTTAATACTTAGCTATTTGCCAAACAAGCACACAAAAAATCTATTATTTACTAGAGTAAAATGTACTTATTTTGTCTTCTCAGAAACATGCATCTGTAGCTTCTAAAGGGCAGTACTAAATGAAAGAATATGATATTTTAACAAAATGAGGCAAAACTACACATCATCATCCTGTTCATATATCAAGATGGTTTCTATGGATTAAAAAAAAAAGTGGAACTTATACTTCAATGGTAGCACAAGTACTGTTTTTTTTTTTTCTGAAAATCAGCACAGGCATATATCTTAACTTTTCATACACCTCCATCGCAATGCAGACATGCGCCAAGGGGGAGCAGAAGTGTGAATATATCATCTGACAGCTGTATTTAATGACAGCCATTCAAGAGAGAGTGCAGGCTTACAAAACAGATCCAGAGCCAATAAGCCATTGGCTGTGGAAAATTAATCACAGCTATAATTGGCTATCAGACACAACCATCCATCACATCTTTGTATGCAAATAATAGCTTATATAAAGCATGTAAGGGACAGTTTAGCTCTGTGTGGACATGCAGCTCATCCAGTTGGGGTTTATTTTCCAATAACTGCCATAGCTAATTATCCCACTTAATACTTAGCTATTTGCCAAACAAGCACACAAAAAATCTATTATTTACTAGAGTAAAATGTACTTATTTTGTCTTCTCAGAAACATGCATCTGTAGCTTCTAAAGGGCAGTACTAAATGAAAGAATATGATATTTTAACAAAATGAGGCAAAACTACACATCATCATCCTGTTCAAAAAGTTTACACCCCCTTGTTTCATTCTTGAGCATCAGTGAATGTTTTCACCATCTTTAATAGTTGTGTATGAGTTCATTAGTTGTTCCTAATGTGAAAAGATTAATCTCAAAATCATTCAGTCACTGTTGTAAAGGGTTGAATTAATATGCTGGAAAACCAAATGTGCAGGACCTGAAGAATTGTTCTGAAGAACAATTGACAGTTTAACTGGGACTCATGAACAACTCATGAAATTCTGTACAGAACAAAAAACAGTTGTGTGGATCATCCTGGTAACGACAACAAGGTAAGGTTCACTTACTTTTCCCACAACCCTGTGAATGAGTGCGTTTGCATTCACGTTCTACCCTAATATGCTTTTGATCTATTATGGTCATGTATATTATCTTAGGCCCCGTCCACACGGAGACGCGTTTAGCTGTATACGCATACATTTTGTATCGTATAGGCGTTTCGTCCAGACGGATCCGGCGGTTTGGGAGAGTGAAACTGATATTTTTTTTAACCGGGGCCCGAGTGGATAAATCTGAAAACGCCGTCCTCGCGTTTTCGTGTGGACAGCGAATCCCTATATTCTGTGAAACAGCAGCAGCCCACGTCTCGCCCCTAGTCACGCTACGTCACGTAACAGCAACAAAAACATGAACAAACACTGAACGATTGTCTTTTTATTAACTAACATTAACAGAGATTAATAAATGTATTGTTCCATGTTCGTTTGCATACCACGCGATATTCTTTATGACTTGTGGATTGCTATTAAATGAATTGTTTTTGCCCTGTTATTGTGCAGAGTGCAGAATAATGTATTCAGGATTTTCATCTAGCTGTATCTGTTCCCTTGGAGAAACTTGTAATCATTTCATTGTTTTTGTTTCCATGCTAAACTGCATGGCTCTGATAAGTTATGTGCCTGTGGTGCTCGGCCACACTTGTTAACATTTATTTGGTTGACAGCACTTGCTAACTTTAACGTCAGTCACTGAGAAAATTCACAGTCA